GCCCAGTCCCGGGGAGGCGGGGACCTGTGGGTGTTGTGATACCAGAGAACCAGTGCTGATTCCAGGCTGGTATCCTGGGCCTTTGCCCTCCTTCACCATCTTGGTTCAAGGTCCCTGCTCTGGCAGCTCTGCCCCAGGATGGGGAGAATATTTCCTATTTCTTTGCTGGTTACACAACTCTCCCCTAGCCTCAGCTGTGAGGGCTGACATCCCAAAACAGCAACTCCTGCTTGGGGAAGGAGTTAATATCTTGTCGCAGTGGGTGAGCCATGCTCCTAGGAGGGCACTCCCAGGGCATGGAGCCCTTCCCAAAGCTGTCTGCTTGCCCCAGTCCCAGGCCAGGCGGCAGAGGTTCCTTACCTGATGGGTCTGGAACACTCCCTTCTTGTGGTGTATGAAAATCCCGAGTGCCTTTGTCCCCTCCCCCGGCCTCCTTCAGTGACAAGGGAAGAGGTGCGGGCACTGTGCATCTGGGATAGAGCCACTTCTCTCTGAGGCACTGCAGAGGGCTTCAGCTGGTTTGCTGGTAGCGGACCATTTGCTAAGGGAGGAGGTTGCTGGCAAGAGACCGGTTGCTAAGGGAAGCCAGAAACTAGCCTGCCCTCTCCTTGTGTGCTACAGGGACCTGTGGGGTGTTACTGAGGAAGGTGAATGGAACGGCCATCGTGCAGCTGCCCTCTAAGAGACACATGCAGGTAGAGGGGGGAGAGTGGGGATGAGGGTGGCGGGCGGATGCGCCTCTGCCCTGGGCTCTGAGCAGTCGCTGCTGGCTGAGTCTGCAACATCAGCAGCCAGAGGATGAAATGTGAGGGTTAGTCTGTGCTGGCTGTATGGGCTCTGCAGCAGCCTAGACCTGTGGAGCAGAGATGTGGCCCTGGATACGTATTCCCAATGTGAACAGGCCACCGAGCTGAGGCAGGCAGGGCAGCCAGTGCCTAGGGACGAGGCCTGGCTCTCAGCTCTGCCCTAGATTAAGGGAATCCCCTTCCCAGCTGGCCCCTAGCCTCTGGTCTTTGTCTCAGTAGTATTCTCTAGCCTGGTCCATCCCATGGGTAGGGTCCAGCAGTGGAAGGCACCTGCTCTGGTGCAGTGGTGGTAGACCAGTGCCTGCCAGGCCACCCACACATGGGAGGGGTTCCATGAGAGGACACTGCGCTGTTGGGGCTGTGGCTGTATGCGCAGGCAAAGCAGCTTCTTGGCAGCAGGGGCCAAGAACTCTCCCTTGGCACCCCTATCCTGGGCGCTGTCTGCCCCGGGTGGGCTCCCGCTCACAGCCTCTCTCTTCCTCTGGCAGGTGCTGGAGACCTGCATAGCCACCGTGGGGCGAGTTTCCAACATTGACCACAACAAGCGGATCATTGGGAAAGCTGGCCGGAACCGCTGGCTGGGGAAGCGCCCGCGCAGTGGCTTATGGCACCGCAAGGGCGGCTGGGCGGGACGCAAGATCAAACCACTCCCACCCATGAAGAGCTACGTCAACCTACCCTCAGCAGCAGCTCGGGCTTGACACCTGGCCCCGGTGCCTGCCCCTCAATGGCTCTCAATAAAATCAGCCCCTCAACTCTCACTTGTCCTACAGCATCTGCTCTGTGCAAAGCTGCAGGAGTGCCCTGATGGGATCAGTGTCCTGGGGGGCAGGCTCCGCGTACTGCTTATGTGAACCTAGCCTTGGCACTACGGGCATATTCAGACCCCCTAGAGTGTGGGTATGGGGCTGCTGTGGGAGACTGGGGCTGCTGACTCCCAGCCACCGGGCTCATCTGAGCCTTGGGCCATAGAGGTGGGGAGGGGGATAATGAATGACTGGAGTGTTAAATGGATTTGCCCTGTGTTCTCTCCCCTTCAGCATCTGCAGGAAACCTAGTCCGTGTATCTTCCCCTTTTCCCAGAGCCCTCTCCACTGCAAGGGAACTCAACCTAACCTCCTGGGCCTAGCATGATAAAGATCCTGTTCTCTGTGAAGGTGTTGGGGGCTGCTCACGGGTCAGAGCCTACCAGTAGGTCCCCCTCCCTGCTGAAGTTACTGGACCCTTTCCAAAAACCTTGCTTCCTGGTGCTGGAGATGCTGCAGTAATCTGCATCCCTCTCTATCTTATGGCTGCTCTGGAGGGGCTGAACTTGGGGACATAACCACTCTCCTGTCCTGTTGCCTGCAGCGACGATGGGGGTGCCATCCAGTTACCTACTAGATATCCCACAGTGAGGTTGGAACAGTCCCAACATTCTCCTTCGGGTTATGGCTGGATGGTACATACTGCTGGGCTGCCCTTCTCCTGAAGAGGAGATAGCCACTCTCATTCTCTTTCCTATGGGGAAGCTGCCTTTGGGGGGACTTGGATTAGAAAGCCACGTGGTGCTGCTTTTGTACAGAGGCCTGGCATGGGTCCATGCTCCTACAGCTGAGCCTTTCTAACAATAAATTTCAATTGTAGCAGAGATTTGTCCCTGGCGAACTTGTCATTGTCCCTGGGAGAGAATGAATTTCAGGTGCTGGACTAAGGTCAGACCTGCTGGGATGAGCACAGTGAATTGCGCTCCTAAATCCTTGGCCTGGAGGGACAGGGACATGGATATGGATCTGCGCCCTGAGAGAAAGGTGATGGCTAAGAAGCCTGAGACCTGAATGGGTGCCCTTAAGGAGGCTAGGAAGGGGATCAGAGGAGCAGTTAACCCCAGAACTGTGATACCCAGAATCAAAAAGGAAAAATCCATGCATAAAACCTGGCCACCTGAAATGCAGAGATCCCAAAATAAAATAAAACTTTTTGGACTGGGGGAGTCGGGCCTTCCCACCTTGAGTCTACAACAGGATTCCCTCCTGGGGGCTGAGTCCGGCAGTCATGTTTTGTAAGAGGGAGGGCTGTGTTACTGCTTTACAGAGCTCAGCAAGTTGCCTCTAATGGAATGAGCCTAGAATGACCTTCCAGAGTAAGGCCAGCCAAGTCACAGCACCATGAAATACCCTCTGAGTAACTAGAGCTGGGTATTTCTTTTGGCAAAGAGTACATTTGGGGGGGCGCCAAAACTATTCATGAATTCAAGTTGGGGCTGGTTTGTTTTGTTTTTTTTGAAATGCTGAAGTGTTATGGTTTGACATTTTCAAACCAAACTTTACCAAAATTGTTTAAATGAAATGTCATTTTGAACCTTGAGTTTGACCCGGACAAAGGTTTTTTGTTGTTGTTTTGTTTTTTGCAAGAAAAACCAAAACAATTCAGTTTCTGTTCAATATGACCCGAATGTTGTTTTTATTTATTTTTTAGCATGACCACTGAACCAAAAAATTAATGTGCTCGGCTCTGTTAGTAACGGCACTACCTGGAGGGCGGGGTCAAATGAAATAAAGTGTTGGCTTCAGCCCCTCCAAGCAGAACACTGAGGAACTCTTCACAGCAGGCTTGTGGAGAAAGGCTTTAGCAGGATGGGTATGGGGGAAAAATAATGGCAGAATACCAGGCCCAAGAAGGTGGAACTCTGATGCCACCTTGAGAAGGAATCTTGGATGAACCTATGACCAGTTTGCTCTGGTTGCTTGGGGCTATACCAGGGCAATGCAAAACAGCTGGAATGTAAGGGCAAACTGGCCCTTAGTTTGCTACTAGGCAGCTCCAGAACTCTGAGGGACAGTGGTTGTGAACCAAGGAATCTGCCAGTAAAAACTTTTGACGTGCATAGTTCCCCTCCCGTCATGGATTCATTTCTACCATGGCATGCAAATGAGCCTGAGTGGAAGGGTGATGATTGGTTGAGGTACTGCTGAGGTTACAAGGGTCCCAACCGGAGACAATGAATTAGTTCAGTTTATAAACTGTAAAAATGAGATTTCAAGACCTGCAAATTCTTTTAAGATGGTGTTTCAGGCTGATAGTATCTGTTATTGAAGGATGAAAACATTACAAGGATGATAGATCTCAGAGTAGGAGCCGTGTTAGTCTGTATCTGCAAAAAGAATAGGAATAGTTGTGGCACCTTAGAGACTAACAAATTTATTAGAGCATAAGCTTTCGTGAGCTACAGCTCACTTCATCGGATGCATGCAGTGGAAAATACAGTGGGGAGATTTTATATACATAGAGAACGTGAAACAATGGGTGTTTGGGTGTTACCATTGTTTCATGTTCTCTGTGTGTATGTAAAATCTCCCCACTCTATTTTCCACAGTATGCATCCGATGAAGTGAGCTGTAGCTCACGAAAGCTTACTTATGCGCTAATAAATTTGTGAGTCTCTAAGGTGCCATAAGTCCTCCTGTTCTTATTACAAGGATGATGTATTCCCCCAAAGCAAGTGTTACAAACACAGAAAAACACTCAAGGAAAAGAACGTAAGAGCGGCCAGACTGGGTCAGACCAGCGGTCCATCTAGCCCAGTGTCCTGTCTGCCGGCAAGGCTGAGCTGTGGAAACAGCCGGGAAGACGGGACTCAGGGCCTCCCTGCTAGTTTATGTAAAACGTGGGCCCTGATTGTGGGAAGTAGGGTTGCTGCACAGGCCAGGTTCTGACGATCCAGGCCAGGCCATCGCTATCACCAGAGCTTTGACAGGTTTCAGAGGAACAGCCGTGTTAGTCTGTATTCGCAAAAAGAAAAGGAGGCCTTGTGGCACCAGAGCTTTGGTGGGCGGCTGTTCTGTAAGTCTCAGAGAGACCCTGTTCCCTGGGCGCGGAGCCCTGCCCAGGCTTCCCAGCTTGGTGCACCCCCAGTGACTACAGCTTTTTACAGGGTGACCAGACAGCAAACGTGAAAAATCGGGACGGGGGGGGGGGGGTAATCGGAGCCTATGTCAGAAAAAGACCCCAAAATTGGGACTGCCCCTATAAAACCGGGACCTCTGGTGACCCTAGCCCCGTAGGCAGGAGGTGTTCGGGAACCCCTTCCCGGGTGCAGGCGGTCCCTGGGAGGCGGCCGGGACACAGCTGTGCTCTCACAGGGCCCAGGACTCAGGCCCTTGAGGCCTTCCGGCCAGCAGGGCCGCCGGCCCCGGGGGCGGGGCCGTGGCGCGAGGCTCCGCCCCCTCCGTGGCGCACGGCGGCCGGCCCGACTCTTCCCCGTCGCGGGCGCGACTGCCGGGGTTTGTCGCGAGCGGGGAGCCGTAGTGGGCGGGCTGCGCGCGCGCGCGCGCGTCGAGGACCCGGAAGCGGCGCGGGAGCGGCTGGAGGGAGCAGGTAACGGGCAGGCCCGGCCCGGCCCTCGGGCAGCCGGGGAACCGCCTGGCCCCGCCCCCAGCTGTCCCGGAGCGGGCCGGGCGCCCGGCTGCGGCGGGGAGGGACCCGTGGGGGCTGCGGGGGGGCTCCCGGGCCCGGGGGTCCGGCCTCGGCGGGCTGGACGCGAACCGGCCCCGGCGCACCCAGCGAGCGCGCTGCGGGCCGGGGGGGGCAGCCCGGCTGCTCAGAGCGCTGGGGCGAGGCGGGGCCGGGCGGCTCCGGAGCCTGCGGCTGGCGGGGGCGGGGGCGGGGTGAGGGGAGGAGCTGGGGGGGGGGGGCCCAGTCCCCCAGCCCCCCAGCCCAAGACCCCAGTTCTCGACACCCGGGCCTGGCTCCCTCCGGCCGCCCATGCGTGGCTGCCGCTAGGCCTGTGGCTTTAGCCGGGGGGCTTGAGCTACTTCTGATGTCCCAGCGGCCCCATTTAAGAATTCGCTGGGACGTGTTTCGCGCTCTAGGGCATGGCCACACAGCAGTTTCGAGCCAGCCTTCCACCCTGGGTCGAGACTCAGGCTAGCCGGGCGAGTGCTCTAAAAACAGGTGTGTAGACAGCGCTTTGGAGTTGCAGTACGGGCTGGAGTTGGGCTTCGAAGCCTGGGGCGTGGGGTGGCGGCTCCAGACAGAGAGCCTGGGCTTCAGCACCTGCGCTCCAGCCCAAGCTGCAACTTCAAAGCGCTGTCTACACTCCTATTTGTAGAGCACTAGGGTGAGCCCTGTTAGCCAGAGTCTGTGTCCCAGGCTGGGACGCTTGCTCCAAAATGCTGTGTAGACGTACCCATAGTGTTTAAGGCCAGAAGGGGCCACCAGATCATCTAGTCTGGCCTCCTGTAAGTCACAGGCCACCAACAGCACCCGCACATTAAACCCAACAACTGAAATTAGACCAAAGTGTTACAGCTCTCGGGAGACTAAACTATTGAGTGCTCCAGGCAGAGAACAGGAAGGCCTGAGGTGCACCAGTGGCAGGGACTTGGTTAGGTGAGACGTGCCCAGGTGATACGAGCAGGTGACTTACTCCTCATGCTGCAGAGGAAGGTGAAAAATCCCCAGTGTCTCTGCTAATCTGACCTGGAGGAAATTCCTAAATTGGTAAAGATGCAAAAACTAACCGTAAGAATGTTTTAAGTACATCAGAACCAGGAAAACGCCCAGACAGGCAGTGGAGTCACTAGGGCTATGTCTGCATGGGGATAAAAAGCCCACATCTGGCTCAGGTCAGTTGACTTGAGTTTGGGCTTTGTGGCTGAAAATTGCTGAGTAGATGGTTGGGCTTGGGCAGGAAGCTGAGCTCCGGGACCCTGCAAGAGAGGAGGGTTGTAGAGCTCGGGCTCCAGCCTGAGCCCAAAAATCTATACAGCAATTTTTAGCCCCGTAGCTTGAGCCTCACAAGCCCAAGTCAGCTGACCTGGGCCACCCGTGACTGTGCTGTGAGGCTTTTATCCTCCTGTAAACGTAACCTAGACGACAAAGGTGCTAAAGGAGTGCTCAAGGAAAACGAGGCCGTCATAGAGAAGCTAAATGAATTCACTGCAGAGGAGGTGGGGGGAAATACCAACATCAGAGCTATTAGTTTTGGGTGGCAAATGTGAACTACTGTCCCACACTGTTGTGTCAGAAGAGGTAGTTTTAGAATGAATTGATAAATTAACCTGTAATAAGTCACCAGGACGAGATGGTATTCACCTAAGAGTTCTGAAGGAACTCAAATGTGAAATTGTAAAACTAGTGGCTGTAGTACATAACCTGTCACTGAAAGAAGCATTTTACCACATGACTGGAAGGTCGCTAATGTAATACCAATTTTCAAAAAGGGCTCCAGAGGCAATCCTGGCAGTTACAGGCTGATGAGCCTAAGTTCAGTACCTGGCAGACTGGTTGAAACTATAGTAAAGTACAGAATTATGAGGCCCACAGATGAATAAGACTTGCCGGGGGAGAGTCAACACAGCTTTTGTAAAGGAAAGTCATGCCTCCCAATCTGTTAGAATTCTTTGAGGGTGTCAACAAACATGTGGATAAGGGTGATCTGGTTGATGTAGTGTTCTTGGATATTCAGAAAGCCTTTGAGAAGATGACACAGATCCACAGGATTGATGCTATGGCCCCAGCTTTGGAACCATCTCTAGGAGGAACCCCTTCAGTGTGTCAGATCCCTAGGGGTCTTGCTCTTCTTCCAGGGTAAGCCAGGCAGCTTACTGAGCTCCCTTCAGCAAGTCCAGCTGAGACAGACTCCTGATGGAGACTTGTCCACTCTGCAGGGATTCATGGATCTTGTCCAGCATTTGCAGTGAGACTCATGCAGCGTTGTCCAAACAGTGGGTTTTATTTGTTAACTGGAACACAGCATAGGAGGTCCTTAGAGTAGTCTAGAGAGGTGAAGGTTCAAGCATAGGCCATTCTGGTTAGCCCAGAGCCTGAGCAAGCTGAAGTGAACAGCTTAGTGCAAGCTCTGCCTGTTCCTCTGTCTGATCTCCTTCATCAGCTTCCAGTTGAGAGCTCTGACTCCTTCCAGGAGCCAACTTGTATTCCCCATCTCATACCTCTCCTGTCCTTTTATCTCAAGCTGGGGGATTGTTCAGCTTCCCTAAGGAGAGGCGGGGAAGTCCACATCCCTCCCGGTCATTATTTGCTAGGTGTCAATGTCCTGAAGATTGGATTTGCCATTGTCTTCTCAGATGCTCCACTGATACGGGGATTAAGACCCAGACAGCTAGTTGACACCCACATCTCTGTCTCTTAGCTTGCCCCTAAGACAAACAGTTCTTTCCTTCCGCTGGGTAACAATGCAACATATAGAGGAAACTGAGGCAAACACAGGCATCATAAAAATATTACATAAAATTCCCATGTCGTCACACACAGTCCCTCACCAAAGTCTCTTCAGCAAAGTAAGGGTCATGGGATAAGAGGGAATGTCCTCTCATGGATCAGTAGCTGGTTAAAAGATAGGAAACAAAGAGCAGGAATAAGTGGTCACTTTTCATAATGGAGAAAAGTAAACCGCAGGGTTCCCTAAGGATCTATTCTGGGACCTGTGGTGTTCAATTAATGATCTGAAAAACGGAGTGAACGGTGAAGTGGAAAAGTTTACAGATGATACAACATTACTTAAGATAATTAAGTCCAGAGCTGACTGTGAAGACTTAGGTCGGGTCTTGTCTACATTATAGAATTAAGTCCATGTAAGTTATGTCGATGGTCATATGCCGGTTTAATTACATCGGTTGTGCACGTACATGCAATGCTCCTTGTGTTGGCAGAGTGCGTCCACAGTTGGCGCTCTTGCATCGACAGAGAGAGTGTTGCATCGTGGGTAGCTATCCCACTGTGCAATTCACCACCCTTTGCCACTGGGAGATCTGGGAACAGGTCACAGTGCATGATGGCAGCATGCTCACCGTTCCATGATGCAGTTCTTTCTGTCCCATCATTCCATGGGGTTCCGACTTCGTTTTGCGCCATTTTTGAACAGCCCCGGTAAACTGTGCACTCACCATCTCTTCCTGAAAGCCGAACTGCTGACCAGTCTGGTGATGAGCATTGTGAACACAGTGTGGCTGGTCCTGCAGTATTTCATGAGTTGGGAAACAGAAAGTGAATGTGTTTCCTGCCCTGCTGTGTGCAATGTAAGGAAGTAATTTAAGATCGCTACTGGCATTCATGGAGCAGCTGCACATGGTGAACCATCGGTACTGGGCTCGGGAAACAAGCAGGGGGTGGTGTGATTGCATCATGAAGAAAGTACGAGATGAGCAGTGGCTGCAAAACTTTTGGATGCACCAAGCCACCTTCCTGGAACTGTGCGTGGAGCTCATCCTCACAATGGAAAAGCGAGTGGTGATCGCAAATCCAAACTGCTACCAGTCGGTTGCAAATCAGTTTGCAGTTGGAAGGTCCACTGTGGGGTTTGTGATGATGCAAGTGTGCAGGGCCATTAATCACCACCTGCTATGAAGGATTGTGACTCTGGGTAACGTGCAGGAAATAATTTATGGCTTTGCAGCAATGGCATTCCCTAACTGTGGCGGGGTGATAGATGGCACGGATCATAGGATCATAGAATATCAGGGTTGGAAGGGACCTCAGGAGGTCATCTAGTCCAACCCCCTGCTCAAAGCAGGACCAATCCCCAATTTTTGCCCCAGATCCCTAAATGGCCCCCTCAAGGATTGAACTCACAACCCTGGGTTTAGCAGGCCAACGCTCAAACCACTGAGCTATCCCTCCCCCCAGAAATGATATCACAGTTTGGCCCCAGATCATCTTGTGATGGAGTACATCAACTGAAAGGGCTACTTCTCCATAGTTTTGAGGGTGCTGATGGATCACTGGGGCCATTTCACTGACATGAGTGTGGGTTGATCAGGGATAGTTCATGATGCATGCATGTTTAGGAACACTGGACTGTATAGAAAGCTGCACGCTGGGATTTTCTTTTCAGACCAGAAGATTCCAGTGGGGGATGTGGAAATGCCCATAGTGATGCGGGAGACCCCACCTACCCCTTTGCTCCCGTGGCTCATGAAGCCGTACACCAGCAACTTAGACAGCAGCAAGGAGCACTTCAACAACAGGCTCAGCAGGTGCCAAATAACGGATAAATGTGCCTTTGACAGATTAAAAGGTTGCTGGCCCTGCCTTTTTGGCAGGTTAGACCTCAGTGAGGAAAATATTCCCACAGTCATAGCAGCCTGCTGTACATTTGCAAAGTGAAGGGGGGAAAAGTTTCCCCAAGAGTGGAGTGCTGAGGTGAATCAGCTGGCTGCTGGTTTTGAGCAGCCAGGTACCAGGGCAATTAGAGGGGCTCAGTGGGGGGCTATCTGAATTAGGGAGGCTTTGAGGGAGCATTTTGACAATGAGCCCGAGTAATGTGTCTTTATGTGATGCATTGATGCAATGTTTACTTGCCACCTTGAATGACCCCTGTAATTCTTGCTTCCTGAGGTTTAATTACAGTGAGCAAATGTTCCTGCCTATAGCTACTGTGTTTGAATTCTAGTAGCAACCACCATCTGCATAACACAAATAAAGACTCATTTTGTTTCAAAGACTACACTTTAATTAAAGGATAAAACACTTTTTTTTTTGCAAACGGGACATGACAATGAGGAATGTTCTCTCGGTTTAGGCTCTCACAACTGTGTGTAACTCAATCTTTCACCATAAAACCAGTCTCTAGGGGTGGATTGCAAGGGTTACTGCAATGGAATGGGAACATGCGAGGAATGTGTTGGGGGAGTTTGGGCAGGGCATGGAACAGTGTTCTGTATTGATTGCAGGAGGGGTCGTGCACGGATGTGCTCAGACTGCAGCGCTATGAGGGACTTGAGTATCTCTGTCTGACCCTCCGGTAGCTTTATCATCTGCTCCTGTCCATCTATCATCTGCTACTGCTCCTGTCTCCTTTCCAGGCTTTCCAGCCTGAGTTTTTCATTAACTGTCTACCGCCATGCTCTAGTTTCACTAAGTGCTGTGTCTGTTGACTGCAGCACATCTCTAAACATATCCACCTTACTCTTCCTGGTTCACCTCCTTATCTGACAGAGGTGCTCCTCTGGTGTGTCGGGGTTGGTCCTCAAGGGCACATCAGAAGAAGCCAAAGAAACACTGGACAGAGACTGTATTGTGAGTGCACTCACAGCTATGAATCACAAAGGTCACATACACCTCTTTCTTACTGTCTCTTGGCTAGCACACAGCTCGGCGAGAATCCCAAATATGGTGAGTTTTGGAAGGGAGAACAGGCAAGAAGGTACAAAGGGTCTGTGTGGTTTGCAAAGAGGGTCACTACGCGTGCCTAGGGAGAGTATTCTGAATATTGACACCCTTTTCCACAGGCTGGGGTAATCGAACCCGATATTTCACTCTTGAGGGTAACCTAGGATGCAAGGTTGCATCTCCTGCATGCGTGTGGCTTCAGATCATCTCTGTATGCTGGTTGCCTGTGTGCTGCTTTGGTCCGTGCAGAAATAATTGCTGGGTGGCGTGGCAAAGTTTCCTACAGTGGGAGAAGAAACAAGACAGCTCTACCAAGCAATCTGGGGCAGAGGATTACAGAGTACTATTCAAAAGTTTCCTAGAGGTTTCTATGGAGGATTTCTGGGACATCCCAGTGTATATTAACAAACTTTTCTACTGGTCCCCACTGTGTAGCTGCATAGGCTCTGTTGTTAATTTCTCCCCCTTATCCCTCTTCTACCGTATAACAAAGTAAATGTTTCCTATCATTGTGCAGTATCAAAGCAAAATGCGTGCTTACCAGAGCTTGCCTATCCTTCATGCACGCCAGATCTGGAGTGCTGGAACTGGCAAGATCCCTCTGGAGTCAAAAATAGGCCCTGCTTTGCCACGCCACCAGATGACCCTGTCACACGTCCCACACCCTCCTCCAACTCCACTTCCTCATCCACCACTTCGTCCTCAGGGCTAACTTCACTGGCTGTTGCCTCCAGTCCGCCCGAAGCATCCCCAGGGGTTGTGGCAGTGGTGTTGCCACCAAGGATGGCGTGCAGCTTCTTGCAGAAGCAGCATGTCTTCGGTGCTACACCAGAGTGAGGGTTGGCCTCCCTTGCCTTCTGGTACGCCTGCCTCAGCAACTTGATCTTAGCACAGCATTGCTGCATGTCCCTTCTCCTGTATGCCACAAGCAATCTGCCTGTAGCTGAGGCTGCGACTGCACAGCGTCCTCTCCCGCAGACCCCGCAGATCCAACTGCTCCGGGGTAGCCCATGCGGCAGCGCGTCTGTTGCGGAAAGCCGGCATGGTCAGCTGGGAAGGTGCTGAGTGAACAGTCCATGCCGAGCGAACAGGAAGAGGAATTTCAAAAATTCCCGGCCCTTTAAATGGGGGAGGAGGTCATGCCTGTGTACCTTCAAGGCAGTGGAGTTCAAAGTGCTGACCAGAGCGGTCATGCTGGGCATTGTGACACCTCCTAGAGGCCAATTAGGACGACATAAGCAAGTGCAGTGTCTACACTGACACTGCGTTGCTGCAACTATGTCACAAAAGGCTCTGTGTCGTTCGTTGAGGTGGTTTTATTTTGTCAGCGTAGCAGGGGATTTACTTTGGCGGGAGGAGCATTTCAATATGTACACCTCCACTGTTAATGCTGACAAAACTGTGTCATGTAGACAAGGCCTCACAGGGGGGATCTCACAAAACTGGGTGACTGGGTAACGAAATGGCAGATGAAATTCAACACTGATAAGTGCAAAGTAATGCGCACTGGAAAAAATAATCCCGACTATACCTATAAAATGATGGGTTCTAAATTAGCTGTTACCACTCAATGAGAACTTGTAGTCATCATGGCTAGCTCTCTAAAAGCTACAGCTTAATGCACAGCAGCGGTCAAAAAGGCTAACGGAGCATCAGGAACTATTAGAGAAGGGATAGAAAATATAATAGTGACACTATATAAATCCATGGTATGCCTCCACCTTGAATACTGTGTCCAGTTCTGGTCGCCCCCTCTCAAAAAGGATATGGTGGAACTGGAAAAGGTTCAGAGAAGGGGAGCAAAGATGATCAAGGATACGGAAAGGCTTCTGTACAAGGAGAGACTAAAAAGATGAGGGCTGGTCCGTTTAGAAGAGAAACAAGAAGGGATGAAATCACGAATGGAGTGGAGACAGTGGATAGAGACGCATAATTTGCCCTTTCCCACAATTCAAAAACCAGGGGTCACATGGTGAAATTAATAGGCACCAGGTGTAATACAAACAAGAGGAAATACTGAAGCTCTAGTACTGATCACTGTCAGCGACAGGGTACTGGGCTAGATGGACCATTGGTCTGATCCATATGGCCATTCTTATGTTCCTTCCTGACCCTCATAGGTAAGGCTAAGTAAAAGTCACAGGCAAAAAAACAAAAATTAACGGAAGCCTGTGACCTGTCCGTGACTTTTACTAAGAATAACTCTGACAAAATGGGGAGGGAGGGGGGTCTAGCGCCCACCGCTGCTGCAGCCCCGGGATCCTCCCCGCCGCCTGCAACGGCTCAGAGCTCCAGGGTCTGGGGCTGGGAGCTCTGGGGTTCACCTGCGGCAGCTAGCAGCTGGAGCCCACTGCCCACAGTGGCTGGGAACTCTGTGGTCCGCCCACTGCCCCAGGGTCGAATCGGAAAAAGTCATGGAGGTCTCTGGAAATCAGAGCCCTGGCCCGCCCCAGCCCATATCCTGTTGTTAGATGTGAACCAACCCTGCCTCTAGCCTGTATAACCCAATGAATATTTGGCCTCAATCCTGTGGACGTGTATGCCCTGCTTAGCTTTCCTGCTGCGAGCAGCCAGTGGTAGTACTCACGTGCACAAGTGTTTGTAGGGCTGGAGTAGCTGCAGAGCGAGGCTCTTGCACCAGTGGGAGAGGCAGAAGACAGTGGCATAAGATGAGGGAGGGAGGAGGGGACTACAGGGAGCTGAGGTCTGTGAGTCCAGCTGGGATGAGGGCTGGAGGGAATTACACACAGGAGGATGGTTCTGAACCGAAGCCGGGAGCAGAGGGGAGGCAGAGGAGGCTGTGAATGATGAGTGTGATGTAGTCGTGCTTTCCTGCATGGGAGGGTGAGGCTTTGGCCATGGTACACTTGGGCAATAATGCAGAGATGGTGACGTACCTAAGGTGACACAGTGAGTCGGTGGCAGGGCTGGGGGCAGAACCCGGTCTCCTAGGTCTCAGGCCAGTGCCCTGTCCATTTGACTGTGCTGCTCCCTGTGGGATGGGCTAGCTGGGCTTTTCCATCCACCGGGATGGCTTTGCCAGGGATCTGGCACCCTCTGGCTCCCCCAGTAACCCAGGGCTGGGCCCCAGGTTCGTAGGAGGTTTAGGTTTGTATGTGGAGCTCTTGCTCATCTCCTGGCGGGGATGTTGCCTACAGAGCTCTGATCTGGGGTGCAGAATGCCAGGAGGCCTGACAGGCAGAGATCTCCATCTCTAGCTCCCTCTCCTACCAGCTGGGTCCCAGAGGCTCTTCCCTGGAGAGCTCTTGACCAGGGTTCCTAGGTGGCTCATAACCTGCTCCTGCCTCTCTCTCTGTCTCTGTGCAGACGTTCCCCGTCATGGTGGGCGAGAGGAGGAACGGAAACCTGCTCGTGCACCTGGGGCCCAAGCTGCAGGCCCACCCCGAGGAGCTGATCCGGCAGCGCCGGGGCCACGATGGCCACACCGAGTACCTGATTCGCTGGAGCATCCTCAGCTTGGAGGAGGCCCCAGGGAGCAGCACCAATGCCTCTTCGGCGGAGAGCAAAGCGGAGAACATCCTGATGTGGATGTCGGCAGAGGAGGTTTATGCCAACTGCCCGACGCTGCTGGGCAAGAGGAAGCCCGAGGGGCAACGGGTGAAGGAAGAGAAGGCATCCAGCACGTTCCCTCCGGACGTCACGCTGGACGAGGCCTCGCTGCTGGAGATGAAGGCTGACGTCAGGAACCTGGTGCAGCGGGCTGGCCGGCAGATGGCTGGGCCCACGGGCCCGGAGTCCTCCATCCTCAACACCATCCACGTGCTGAGCGCCTACGCCAGCATTGGCTCGCTGACGGGCGTCTTCAAGGAGACCGGGGCCCTGGACCTGCTGATGAAGATGCTGTGTAATGAGGAGAAGCAAATCCGCCGCAGCGCCGGCAAGATGCTGAGGGCCCTGGCTTCCCACGATGCAGGTGAGATCTCCTGGCGAGGAGCCCCAGAGAAGGGCTGGGCCAGACCCAGCTGCTGAGCATGGTGTACTGGGGGGATCCTGGAGCTTATATAGGGCCCTTTCCAAACAGCTAAGGGACTCGGAACTGGGGTCAAGTCCCTCTGTGTACGGGACTGAGCCACCTCCTCCAACCAGGTCCCTGGGCAGTCCTGGCCCGAGTGCGGGCACTATGCATGCTGTTCCACTTTGCTGCATGGATGGCTACGCCCAGATGCCCCTTCCTCGGGAGCCTGCAGTCTGATGGTACCAGCTGGTGCAGTACAGAGCTGTGCTCGCTGCCTGGAGTGGCTCACAACCAAGAGTGCCAGCCCCAGGGCACTGTCAGAAAGCAGGGCAGACGCCCCAGACCAGCGGTATGTTCTGTAATTAGAAACAAGCATGAACTCTTCAGCTACTCTGACAGTCTTACCGGGGAGTCACAGGCAGGCCCCTCGGGCACTCCAGCAAACTAGGCTGAGTGAGAGTCACTTTACACTGAAAATCACAATATTCGGGTCATTCCCAGTCCCAAAGGACCAGTCCCTTACCCAGGTCAGTTGTACCTCAGATTTCAAACCCAAGACAGTGCCTGTAGCCAATCCTGTAATAAACTGACTAAAGAGTGATTAACTAAGAAGAGAAATGAGGGTTATTTTCAAGGATAAAACAGGAAACATGTGCACAAATGAGTTACAGTCTTAGATTTAAGAAGGTACTATCAGGTTCTGTAATAAGTAGCTCTGTGTGTCCTTTACGGCTGACCCAGGCCAAGTGGCATGGGAATCTCTTGCTCATGTTTAAGAATCTTTGCCCCTCCGAGTCCGGACAGCAAGAAGATCTCAGTTTCTCCTTGTCAGGGATTTTTATCCACTTTCCTTGCCCCAGAATTCACACTCATGGGATGAGTTCATGCGCAGGTCTCCCCTTCCTGGAGGGAGCGAGGCATTCAGTTAACAAGGTCTCTGTCCTTGGATGGTACACACTGCCTCGCTTGCCATCAGTGGGCCACCTCAGGTGCAGGACGAGCACTTTCCTGCTCGATGAGTTACACAAGTACAGAGGTTTGCAATGCGAACACTCAATACAGCGTCATACCACGGGCTACAGAGATTGTAAGTGAAATCAATACATGCAGCATCCTACAGGATTCAAAAGGTCTAGGCATCAAACACATAATTACAACTCTACTATTCATCTTAACAAGGCTAACGCTCAGGTGAGCCAGACCGGTTTCCAGCTCTGTATTTGTCAGTGTTCAGTGAGGCTGGGGCCTTGGCATGAGCTGGCATCTGGTCTGCCAGCATCTCACTCACCTGGACAGCCCAGCTCAGGCCAATCTCTGTAGCTGGAATGGAACTGGGTCGTCTTCAGGTGTACTGGGAAGGGGATGGCAGCTGGTGTTTGGCCCTGCCCATGTGTACAGTGGTGCCTCCTTGGCTTTGTACATGAGCCCCCTGTTCTGAGGGGGGCATACTGCAGTCTCTGGCTATTGTCTCCTGCTTGCCTCTCCTGGGCAATATGAGCAGCACTGGGTTTTGAGACAGTGGAATATGGGTCGAGCCAGAGACCCTGCAGGTTGGGTACATCTGAGAAACATCTCTGGGATCCCAGCCCTTGGTTTCCTCTCCGGGAGCTTCCACTGGGGGGCTGGGAGAAATGGAGAGAGGACGGGACGCGGGTGCTGCGAAGATTGAGATGCTCCTGAGGGGTAGGTGGGAGGGAAAGCATTCAGCTGGTGTGTGTCGCGGCTGCAGGGAGTCGGGCCTACGTTCTCCTGTCCCTGAGCCAGCAGGACGGCATTGAGCAACACATGGACTTCGACAGTCGCTACACCCTCCTGGAGCTGTTTGCGGAGACCACGTCCTCCGAAGAGCACTGCATGTCCTTCGAGGGGATCCACCTGCCCCAGGTACTTGCAGGGCTGGCTAGCTCGGGGGGAGGAGCACAGGAGCAGGGGGCTTCACTGGGTGGGGGCTTGGAGCCTGACTGGTATGGAGATGAACGGTGTGGTGACAGGATAGAGCTCAGAGGCCTATTTGGGTTGGGAAGGATGGCTCAGCGTGGGCAGGATGAGGGGAGGTTGTGGGGAGGGTTGGCTTAGAGGCCTGTTAGGGATGGGGGAGGGGAGGGTTGGCTCAGGATGGACAGAATGTGGGGAGGGTTGGCTCAGGGTGGATGGGCAGGCTGGTGGAGGCCTGTTGGGGGTGGGTGGCGATGCCCCAGGATGGGCAGGCGGCCTATCCAGGACAGGGGGGCGAGTGGGGGTGGCTCAGGGTGGGCAGGACGGGGGAGAGGGTTGGTAGAATGCCAGGGGGTAGGTGGCGATGCCCCAGGATGGGTGGGCAGGCAGGGGTGGGGGTGGCTCGGGGTGGGCAGGCTGGTGGAAGCCTGTTAGGAGCGGGTAGCGATGCCCCAGGATGGCCAGGTGGCCTATCCAGGGTGGGTGTGGGTGGCTCAGGGCAGGCCGGGGGTCTGGCTGGGGAGCTCTCATACCGTGGCTCTGACGCCGTGTCTGTTGCAGATCCCCGGGAAGCTGCTGTTCTCGCTGGTGAAGCGGTATCTGTGCGTCACCTCTCTCGTGGACAAGCTCAACAGCAGCACGGAGCTGGGCGGGGAGCGGCAGGACTGCACCGTGCCCTGCGCCCACGTCGGGGAGAGGAGCCGCATGCAGCGGGAGTTCGAGTTCAGCATGGCCATGGCCAATCTCATCTCCGAGCTGGTGCGGGTGATGGGCTGGGACCGCAGCCAGAGGATGGAGCTGCTGTCCCTGCAGGAGGGACAGCCACGGGTCGTCCGCTCCATCTTCCAGCCCAAGGCTCCCGCCTGCGCCGCTGTCCAGGTGGCCTCCTGCCCACCCCAGAAAGAAGCCAGTGCCTTCAAGACGCGCTCTGCCTTCCCGAGCCGCAGCAGCTATGTGGAGTACGTGCAGGGGAACTTGGTGCGGGGCATGCGGGTGCGCATGCTGGAGGACTACGAGCAAGTCAGCGCTGGGGATGAGGGCGAGTTCCGCCAGAGCAACGATGGCACGCCGCCCGTCCAGGTACTCCTGCTGGCAGAGGGGTGGGGCTGGGCCAGGGATGGTGGACACCTGTCCCGGTGTCGGGGGGAGCCTCTCTTGGCCTGAAGCTTTCTGGTGCCTGGCTGCGTCCCGTCCCTATGTGGGTATGGAGAGCGCCGCTGGTTCTGGAGGAGGTCTTTGGCTTTCCTGCTGGCTTGAGGGGTTCTGTGGGCCCAGCTGCTCCTCCTGGGTTGTGGGCAAGCTGCCCGCAGTAACCGGCTTTGTTGGGCTCCCGCCCAGGTTTACTGGCAGGCACTGGGCCGCACCTACTGGGTACACTGGCACATGGTGGAGATTGTCAGTTCGTCTAGCCAGGCGGAGCGGGAGGCCCAGGGAAAGGTGTCCAGCCTGACGAAGAACCTGAAACTGACCACTGGTGAGTGCATGCCACTGTGTGGTGTGGGAGGCTTGCTGGGCTGAGCCCTCTGCTCTGCACATGCTGGGCTGGGGCTAGCAGGGCCTCGTCTTACCTGGACCTCAAGCTGTTCCTGGGAAGTGGAGAGCTCGGGCCATCTGGCCTTGCCACAGGCCTGGTGGGTGACCTTGGACAAGTGCGTGTCGTTTGTGCCTCTGTCCCTACGTCTAGAGAGAGGGGCACTCCCTTGCCCCACAGGGTGCAGTGATGACACCCCAAAGCCCCGGGGAGGCGCCCGGTGCTGGGAACCTGTGGGCACCTCTCTGGAGACATGCATTTGTGCTGGCAGCCTGAGAGGGTCCTCTTTGGGGAGCAGGTCACATGAGGAAGGGAATTCAGGTTCTGCACCCATCCCCCATTTCAGTGGGGTCCCCTCCCGGCAAGTCTTCCTTCCCTCTCTGCCCAGGGAGTGTGCGCCACTCCCCTCCTCCCGCACCCCGAATGAAGAAGGCAATAAGGCTGGGAGGGGGCTGCACACACACTCCTGCCTGGGGACAGACCTGTCTCACAGTCTGGGAGCAGGGGCAATTCCGTGGGTAGATGAACGACAGGAAGACCAGGGAGGTGTTGTTTGATTTGTAAAAATGCACAGAGTCATCATTTCAATTATGTCACCCTCTGTGGCATGGCCGGGGGAGGGGCTCGCTGCCCCCCTGCTTCCAGCTCCAGGTCCTCCAGTTGGTGGAAATTCTGATAACACGGTGTCATCGGAAATGGGTCGAGTTGGGGATCTCTCGAAAGCCCTTCCCCAACAACACAGTGGGCTCAAATATGACCAGCCTAGAACAATGATGTAGCTGTATAGTCGAGAACATTTAAAAATCGCTGGTTTTTAGTTACGCTTTAACACGGGTATGTCGACGTGCCGTCCTCACAAAGTTAAAGTGTGGCCCAGAGCTGGCAGCATTGTCATCTGTGAGTGCTCAGAACCCAGGCCGGATTCCCTTTGTTACTGTTCCAAATTACTGTGAGTGGAAGGAGTGCTTGAACGGAAGTTGACATTATCGGCAAAAAAGGAGCAGCTCTGTGGTATTATTAACAGGTCTCCTTGTTATGCTGAAAGTTGTAATGAGGGACTGGTTAAGACGTCAGCATCCAACCAGGAATCACTGGAATCCATCTGCGAATGGCATACACGTAGTTACGTGCCATACCTCACATAACGGAGCTGATTACAATCCCAGATCAACTTATTTCAAAATCCTGGGTTTTCATTTGGTCTTGATTGTTGTTAGGCATCAGTGGGGAGACAAAGAGTACCGAATAGTAGCTGCATCTTTGAGGAGCTAGTTAACCAGAATGCTCGGTGGCACCTTATGCAGTAACCCTGACCCGGGCGTGGAACCAGCTGCAGCTGTGATGAAGCCGCGCAGAACGCTGGCCTTCGGAGAGAGACGGCCACTGGGTGGGCAGCTCGAGCTGGGGCGAGGGCTCGCAATCCCCCCAAAGGGGGCAGATGGAAAAAGCTGTTGGAGAAGGCGGATGGAAGGAGAAGAAGCTAGATGTTGAGCTAGCAGATGAACCAGAGCTGGGGTAGGTGGTATGGGGAGGTGATAGAATAAAAGAAGAACAGGAGAATAAAAGTAAGAGACTGGGAAGTGAGAAGGAAGGACTGGGAAGCGTGACACTACTGGAAGGTTGGCTGGAAAGACCAACTTATCTTCCAGGCAGGCATTTGATTCAGCTGGCGAAGACTCGCTTCACTCTGAAGGTACTCGGAGTGGCTGAGACCATTCTTGATGAGGTCATAAATACGGCGTTTACCATTTAAAGTCCAGCATGACAACACTTGCTGAGCGACATCGGTAGGTGTTTTCCAAGAAGCAAACAAACGGAGAAGAACTGCCACCGACGCAGGGTGCATTTATACCGGCTAGCAAGAGGGCCAGTTCAAGCAATGGAAGGGCTCTGGAACAGCAGAGTGCGTCCAAAACTACCCTCCCTTATCAGGAATGACTGGGTCTTGGCGGATGGACTGATCACATCCATTCTGTGTGAAACAACATGTGCTCCCGAATCCGTCCCTTAGATAATCAAATGCTCGCATTCACAGACTGCATGTTCGCCATGTTGCAGATGTTTGGCCAACAGCCTGCCTTGGCCGGAAATGTGAGTGCGGTGTGGACGAGGATCAGTGACCCGTCTAGCAGAGACCGGGGATGACTTTAAGGAAGAAATGTTTTAGTCCTATGTATCAAGGCTAATTTCTCTAGGATTAGCTGAGATCCATGTCCTTTTTTTTTTTTTTTTTTTTTTAATGTAAGCCGTGCATCCCTGTGTTAAAGTCTAATTAACAAAAGGGGATTTTGAAACATTTTCTCGACTGTACATCTACATAATTGCTCTAGGTTTGCCATGGTTGGTACCATTGTGTCTGTGGGGGAAAGGGCTTTTGAATGGTCCGCAACGAGACCCATTTCTGATGACACTGTATTGTCAAAACTCCCACCAAATGGAGGATGTGGAGCTGGGAGCTGGTGGGATACAGAGTCCCCCCTCACTGCAGAGCGTGACACTGTTGAAAGGAAAAGGAGGACTTGTGGCACCTTAGAGACTAACCCATTTATTTGAGCATAAGCTTTCGTGAGCTACAGCTCACTTCATGAAAGCTCATGCTCAAATAAATGGGTTAGTCTCTAAGGTGCCACAAGTACTCCTTTTCTTTTTGCGAATACGGACTAACACGGCTGCTACTCTGAAAACTGTTGAAATGATGATTCTGCTGATTTCTGTGACTGAAGAGTTCCCTACCTCATGCTCCCAGCCTGTTGGGTCCGCACTCCCTTGGCTGCCTGGCTAGCCCAGGCCAGCTGTCCCCTCCTGGCTCAGGTGGCGCTGCAGCAGGGTAACTGTCCTGCTGAGACGCTCAGGGTTAGTCTCTCTGCCTTGCTGTGCCCCCCCTGCAGTGACCCAGACGTTTTACTGCAAGCCCCTTGGGGGGCTGTACTCCCTGCCCTACCTGATGGACCGGCTGAGCGAGGACTCCGAGGCCCTGAGCCGGGCCGAGTGGTGGGAGCTGCTCTTCTTCGTGAAGAAGCTAGAACCGCATGAGCAGCAGGAGATCGCCCAGCTCATCCGGCAGCACCAGGAGGTAAAGGGAGACAGGACTGGGGGAGATCAGACAGCAGCTAGCCCCAGCTTTCCTTTCGCCGCTGCAGGGTACCCACCTCACGGAGCGTGTCTTACAAGAGCTACATGTGCAGTTTATCCCCGGAGAGGACAGCCCTATTGGCACAGTAGTTATCTGTCCCAGGGCAGCCTGCCAGCAGCCGCTCAGTGCTGCTGGGTACCCCACCGACTCCTCTCGGGCCCTGAACTCATGGCAGCAGTCTGGATTTGCTCCCCAAACTCTCCTTCTATTCTGGTAAAGAAAGTCTCTGCCGGCGTCTGTATTTCTATGCCTTTAAGCAGGCAGTGAACACACGGACTTGCCCTGAGGTTAGCGGTGTTGTCTGTGAGGAGTAGCCCCTCTGCAATCCAGCCACTGGGCTGTTCAGCCACTCCCAGACCCTTGCTTTGAGCGTGCGCTTCCTGTTACTGCTCCGAGCTGGGTTCTGGAGGTGATGGACTCAGCTGCTGCATAGTGCTGCCGGTTAACATCTGCCTCCCTGGCCTGGAGCCCTGAGCACTTCTAACCAGGTCACTCTCCGGCTTGTACCGGGTCATGGATGGCTAGTGTACCCTGTCCAGCTCCCTTGTTCTGGGACAGGCATGGTGTAGGAGTGTGACCAGAAGAGAGGGGAACTGAGAGGAGCTGGTCATTGGGGGCTGACATATTGGGAATGGATGGAGCTGCGGGCGGAAGCAGGGAGGGAGTGGAACAGGGAACTGGGGAGCCTTGGGTAGAGCGGAGCAGACTGGGAGGAGAGATTGAACTGGGGGAGTAAAGGGAAATGGTGGGGGGGCAGGTGAGGGGAGGACCAAGGAGTACGGATGGAAAAGAGGGAGGGAATGAAAGAGGAGACCAGCTCGGCCCAGGTCCAGGTAGAGAAACTGTGTCCAGCAGACTCTGGATGGGAAGGTCACAGGCATGGGTAGGTGCTGTCAGCAACCACTGGGATGTAGACTGTAGGACGAGAAATGGGTTTGTCTGGTTCTGGCTGGCCTGGGGACATCCTGTATCGGGTCGGTTCTGGCTGTCCAGGGGATATCCCGGTTGGACTTGCCCGATGTCGGTTCGGTTCTGGCTGGCCTGGGGACATCCTGGTGTCAGTTCGGTTCTGGCTGGCCTGGGGATATCCCGGTCGGACTAGCCCGGTGTAGGGTCTGTTCTGACTGGCTGGGGGATATCCTGGTTGGACTAGCCCAGTTTCAGGTCGGTTCTGGCTGGCCTGAGGATATTCCGTTTGGACTAGCCCAGGGTTGGTTTGGTTCTGGCTGGCCTGGGGATATTCTGGATGGACTTGCCCAGTGTTGGCTCAGTTCCGGCTGGCCTGGGGACCTCCCCGTGTCGGCTCGGTTCCGGCTGGCCTGGGGACATCGGGCTGCTGAGAATTAACCCAGGCCCTGCATTTCCAGCTGTCGGAGCTGGACGAAGAAGCCCTGATCCAGCTGTCGGTACCGGTGGAGCTGGCCCAGCAAGTGCTGCGGGTGCTGAGCAAGCAGTGCCAGGGCTGCACTCTGGGTGACCTGCACAGCTCCCATGTCTACAGCAAGTACTTCCTCCGCCCAGGGGGGGCGCAGCCGGGCGGCCTGGGGCTGGACGCAGCCCCCTCGGAGTGCGCCGAATCCGTGGTGTCCAAGAAACCAAAGAAAGACCCTCCTGCTGCCAGAGTGCCTGCCCCAGCCCCCCCGGAGAAATCCGACTGCCAGCTCTTCACCGAGCTGCTGCGAGCGGAGGGGCTAGCCTGCCCGGAGATGGCAGAGGAGAAAGCCAAGGGTACGTGCCAGCCGGGGAAGGAGCCGTGCGCGGCAGTGGCTGGGTGCTGGGCTCTAGCTAAAGCGGGTCCCTGCTGGCTAAGGGGGGTCTGGGCAGGGGAGACCCAGCGATTGGTTCGGGGAGAGGTTGGGAAGAGGGGCGACCCGTGGGGGGTGGGGAAGCGCCGTGGGGAGGGGCTGGCTGGAGGGCTCGTGGGGCAGCCTCGGGTTGACGGGTGTTATGGTCCCGGCCAGTGTTGTGCAGCACGAAGGGGTCGGGGAAGAAGAGCTCGTTGGAGCGGATTGCAGAGGTGGTGGAACTGATCCAGAGGTCCAGCTCCGAGGTGGGGCTGCAGCTAGCTGGGCTCAGGTTCATTATCAAGACTCTGGAGGAGGAGGCCGGGCGAGAGCGGCAGGTCATCAAACCTGAGGGACTCACCATCAGGTCAGTTCTCTGGTGGGTCCTCTGGGCGCGCCCAGACCTGGAGATGGCAGGCCCGTGCCTCCCTGGAGAGACGGGGCAGGAAAACCAGCTGCTCCTGTCTGCAGGGGCCGGCTGCTGGCTAGCGTCTGTCTCTGGCGCGGGCATTACCCCTGGGTGATGTTTCTATTAGAGTAGAGCCAGGGGATGCCAGTTGTGAGCAGATGTGCTCACGATCCTGGCTCCAGATGCTTACGGTCTAGCTACAGCAACGTACAAAGGATTTGGGCAGGAGGGCGACAGATACACGTCACCGGTTGTACAGCCAGCAGGGACCATTGTGGTTGGCTGGTCTGATCCTGTGTGTCGCGCAGGCCAGAGAGCGTCACCCAGTGACTCCTGCACAGGTCTGAAGTCTCCTGGGAAAGTGGCACCATGGAGCCCCGTCAGTGGTGGGTGAGCTGCAGGGTGGGCTTCAGGCAGATGGCCCCTCCCAGCGTAGCGACCGCAAGCGTTGGAAGACTTGCCCCATCCCTGGGACGCTGTTCCCATGGCCGGTCACCCTCCCTGGTAAACAGGTCTCTGATTTCCCGTTTGAGCTTCGCCGTGGCTCTCCTCCCCCTCTGCCTGCTGGACCCAAGAGCCCCCGTGTCAGCAGCGTTCTCCCTGGGCAGGTGCCTACAGACTGCGAGTAGGTGTCCTCACCCTTCATCCGAGGAGCTGCCAGGATCCAGCTTCTTTAGTCGCTTGCTGTGAGGCTGGTTTTCCAGCCCTGGATACTTGTAGCTCATTTCTGACCACTGTCCGGTTTCCCAATACCTTGTGTGGACACCTGGCGACCAAGGGATGACTTGTTCATGATGCGCAAGGACCTTCCCGGGGGGAAAACGTGAGTGCTAATGGGCCCGTTAGTCTAGCAGAGATGGGCAGAACCAGAACCGATGGCTGGAGCTGAAGCCAGACAGGTCCCTGTGAGACGTAAGGCCCAGATGCTCACCAGAGAAGGTGATAAGGACATAGGAACGGTCATACTGGGTCAGACCAAAGGTCCGTCTAGCCCAGTATCCTGTCTGCCGACAGTGGCCAATGCCAGGTGCTCCAGAGGGAATGAACAGAACAGGGAATGACCAAGTGATCCATCCCCTGTCGCCCATTCCCAGCTTCTGGCAAACAGCGACTTGGGACACCATCCCTGCCCATCCTGGCTAATAGCCATTGATGGACCTATCCTCCATGAATTTATCTAGTTCGTTTTTGAACCCTGTTATAGTCTTGGCCTTCACAACGTCCTCTGTCAAGGAGTTCCACAGTTTGACTTTGCGTTGTGTTAAGAAATACTTCCTTGTGTTTGTTTTAAACTTGCTGCCTGTTAATTTAATTTGGTGACCCCTAGTTCATGTGTTATGACGAGGAGTAAATAACACTTCCTTATCTACTTTCTCCACACCTGTCATGATTTTATAGACCTCTATCATATCCCCCTTTAGGCGTCTCTTTTCCAAGCTGAAAAGTCCCAGTCTTATTACTCTCCCCTCATATGGAAGCCCATTCCATATCTCTGATTATTTTTGTTGCCCTTTTCTGAACCTTTTCCAATTCCAATAGATCTTTTTTAAGATGGGGTGACCACATCTGCACACAGTATTCAAGATGTGGGCGTACTATGGATTTATATTTTCTCTCTTATTATCTATCCCTTTCTTAATGATTCCCAATGTTCTGTTCGCTTTTTTTGACTCCCACTGCACATTGAATGGATGTTTTCAGAGAACTATCCACAGTGACTCCAAGATCCCTCTCTTGAGTGGTAACAGCTAATTTAGACCCCATCGTTTTATATGTAGAGTTGGGATGATGTTTTCCAATGTGCATCGCTTGGCATTTATCAACACTGAATTTCATCTGCTGAGCCATTGGAACAAACTTCCAGGGCAGGGGTGGATTCTGCACCTCTGGATAGCTGGAAATCAAACCTGGCTGCCCTGCTGGGACTCCTGTGACAGCTTGGGGAGTGGGAGGCCCATGGGGGGCCGGGGGATCTGGTTTCTGGACCAGAGCTGACCTGGAGCCACGCAGCAGGTCAGTCCCCGGTTGCCCAAGCCCGGCTCCTGAGCCGCCCGCCGTTGCTCCCCGCAGGGAGAAGCTGGTGAAGATGCTGGTGGAACTGCTCACCAACCAGGTGAAGGAGAAGCTGCTGGCGGTGCTGGCTCTGCGGCTGCTCTGTGTGCTGATGGCCAAGTAC